CATAACTCCTCACTTATTCCTGAGCTGTGGGTTGGAGGGCTTGTTTATGCCCTGCAAGAGTTGCAAAAAATTACAGGTTGATTATCCTTTATCGGGAAATCTGAAATATTCCAAAATCTGAAATTACCCACATGGGTATCTGCCCAGAGGTGGTGTGAGATACCCCCCAATGCTCTGGAAAATTACTTTCCTTCTGGACTACAACTCCCATGAGGATTTGCTTGGTGCTCAGTAGTTACTTTTTCTGAACTACAACTGCCACAAACCCCTCTCCTTATCCTATGCCAAGATACAGGCTAGCAATTCAGGGAGCAGGAGTGCAAAAGACATTACAAAGTTTATTTCCCAAAGTCTGAGGTGAGTGGGGGAGGGTGGAGATAAAACTGTAATTTAAGATGCCATGCATAATTCTGATTAAATCGTTTATTGTCAAGAAAGCCCTGTGACAGGGGTACCTTAAGATGGAAAAGAGCGGAAGGCACACAACCATAAATATTATGTATGCAAAAGATAGTTTACCCAGGGGTGTTCTGGAGCCTCTCCCAGGGCTTAGAAAAGTTACTTTTCCAAGATTACAACTCCTAGAAACCCCGCCTCCTAACATCTTCCTTCCAGTCATCACAATTGGGAAACAAACTGAAGACAGGACAAAATATATGCAAAAGAAGGTTTGCTCAGGTATGTTGTGAAAACACGCCCAGTACTTAGGAAAATGGTTGTTGTTGTAGTTATATTCTGCTTCCCTCTTTTCAGGGAGACTAAAAAACGGTAACTGTAGTCCAGAAAGTTACTTTTCTTGGGCCCCAACTCCTAGAAACCCCTTCTCTTACTCCTCAGCCAAGTTACAGGCTGCCAATTCAGGGAGTAAGAGTATGAAGGACATTAAAAAGTCATGTTAAATCGTTGTGTGGACTCTTCCATTCCTTAGAGAAGTTACTTTCCTCAGACTTTAAAAAAATATATTAAACAGAAACTTCATTAAGTAGGAGACACTCAATTATTTTTTCATAACTTGTTTTTGACACTGATTAGACTTTTAAAAAATCACACTGCAATCCTGCTAAGTATGATCTCTGAATTAAGCCTCATCAAGTCCAATGAACTTTCTTCCAAGTAATAGGGGCCCACAGTTGCAATACAAAGGGCTTGGCATTTCTGTCAAAGACAAAGGAGCAAGAAAGAGGAAAAGATGCTACCATCTAGTTAGCCTGATAGCAAGACCAGGAAAGATTCTGGAGCAGATCATTAAGGAGGAAGTCTGCAATCACTTAGAAAGAAATGCTGCGATCACTAAAAGTCAACATGGATTTCTCAAAAACAAGTCAAGCCAGACTAATCTTTTGTTTCAATAGAGTTACGGGATTGGTAGATGCAGGGAATGCTGTGGACGTAGCATATCTTGATTTCAGGAAGGCCTTCGGCAAAGTCCCCCATGACCTTCTTCCAAGCAAACTAGTCAAACCAAGGCCTGGCAATACTACTATTAAGTGGATCTGTAATTGGTTAAGCGACTGAACCCAAAGAGTGTTTCTTTCCAATGGTTCCTCTTCATCCTGGAAATAAGTGACCGGTGGAATGCCACGGCGTTTGGTTCTGGGCCCAATTCTGTTCAACATCTTTATTAAAGACTTGGATGAAGGTGTAGAAGGCATGCTTGTCAAGTTTGCAGATGACACCAAATGAGGTGGGATAGCTAATACTCCAGAGGACAGGATCAGAATTCTAAATAACCGTAACAGAATAGAGCTGATTGGCCAAAACTAACAAAATGAATTTCAACAAGGACAAATGTAAGATACCACACTTAGACCGAAGAAAAGAAATGCAAAAATACAGAATGAGAGGAGACATGAGAAGAGCCATGTATAAATATGTGAAAGGGTGTCATAAGGAAGAGGGAGCAGGCTTGTTTCAGAGGGAACTGAAGGCATGGCTTTTCAAACAGGCCGTTGATAATGGTTAATGTAACATCTAAAATCTGGAGAACCTAAATAGAGGTTGTACTGGATGGTCCATGAGGTCTCTTCAAACTCTATTAATATAATAATAATCTTATTTTTGTAGCCTGCCTCCATCTCCCCGAAGGGACTTGGGGCACCAAGTGCCTAAATCAACAGATAAAATAATATAAACACACAATACAATATAAGATAAACCAGCAGTATATATATAAAAAAACAATTTGAACTCAAAACCTTTGTAAGTTTTATGTTCCACAATAACCTATAGTGTCAATTGTTGTAAAAACATGGTCAACTGTAAACAAGAAGGCAAAGGGATACTGCAATATGTAGCTAAGGAACAAGGGCATGGGATGAAAGTGCTGTGCTCTATCATAATTGTGGACTACTTGGCTAGACATTTTCAAAGGCTTGTCTAAACATCCAAGTATTCAACTCTCTCCGGAAGGAGGACAGCGTTAGGGCCTGCCTAATCTCCCTGGGTAGAGCGTTCCAAAACCAGGGGCCCACCATCAAGAAAGTGGTATACTTAACACGATTCTTATTATATGATTTTATTTAAGTCTTATTTATTTATTTAGCATATTTGTATCCTGTCCTTCTCACCCCCGGAGGGGGGACTCAGGGCGGCTTCACAACAGGCATTCATTCAATACCAACAACAGTAATGAATGATAAAAGCGATTAAAATATAAAATTACTAAAACATTGTTTATACCACGCAGGTTTGAAATCATAGTCCAGGTGAGTCCATTGTCATTCACACAAGTTGCTGCCTCTATTGTTCGAACGGCAGGTTTTGAGTTTCATTCTAAGGGACAAGAGGGTGGGGGGCAATCTAATTTCACTCGGTAGAGAGTTCCACAGACGAGGGGCCACCACTGAGAAGGCCCTGTATCTCATTTCCACCAGTCACGCTTGCCAGGATGGTGGGACCGAGAGCAGGGCCTCTCCCGTCGATCTTAGACTTCGCAATGGTTCATAGCAGGAGATACGTTCAGACAGGTAAGTTGGGCCAGAACATTCAGGGCTTTATAGGCTATTACTACTACTACTATCTGAAGATGCCATGAAAAAGCAGAGGAACTTCCTGGCATCTCGTTTTCTAATGGGTTGGTATTCTTGTGAATATAGAGCAGGCCTGGGCCAACTTGGGCCTTTCAGGTGTTTTGGACTTCATCTCCCAGCATTCCTAACAGCCTTGGGCCCTTTCCTTTTTCCCCTTCAGCCGCTTAAGCAGGTTGATATTCTTGTGATCATAAAGTCTCAGTGGAGGACCTTAGACCAGGTCTGGAACAACTTGGGCCTTCCAAGTGTTTTAGACGTCAACTTCCACCATCCATATCAGCCTGAGGCCCCTCCCCCCCAGCTGTTTAAGTGGGTTGATATTCTTCTGACCATAAAGTCACAGTGGAGGACCTTAGACCAGGCCTAGGACAACTTGGGCTTTCCAAGTGTTTTGGACTTCAACTCCCAGCATTCCTAACAGCCTCAGACCCCTTCCTTTCTCCCTTCAGCTACTTAAGTGGGACCGGCCTGGGTCAACTTGGGCCCTCCAGGTGTTTTGGACTTCAACTCCCAGCATTAATAACAGTCTCAGGCTCCTTCCTTTCCCCCCTCAGCTGCTTCAGCGGGTTGATACTCTTGCGACCATAAGGTCACAGTGGAGGACCTTAGATCAGGCCTGGGACAACTTGGGCCTTCCAGGTATTTTGGACTTCATCTCGCAGCATTCCTAACAGCTTCAGGCCTTTTCCTTTTCCCCCTTCAGCCACTGAAGCGGGTTGATATTCTTGTGACCATAAAGTCACAGTGGAAGACCTTAGACCAGGCCTGGGACAACTTGGGCCTTCCAAATGTTTTGGACTTCAACTCCCAGCATTCCTAACAGCCTGAGGCCCCTTCCTTTCTCCCCTCAGCCACTTAAGTGGGACCAGGCCTGGGTCAACTTGGGCCCTCCAGATGTTTTGGACTATAACTCCAAGTATTCCTAACAGCCTCAGATCCCTTCCTTTCTCCCCTCAGCTACTTAAGAGGGACCGGCCTGGGTCAACCTGGGCCTTCCAAGTGTTTTGGACTTTATCTCCCAGCATTCTTTACAGCCTCAGGCCCTTTCCCCCCCCCCCCCCCCTTGTGACCATAATAAAATCACAGTGGAGGACCTTAGACCAGGCCTTGGCCAGCTTGGGCCTTCCTAGTGTTTTGGACTTCAACTCCAAGTATTCCTAACAGCCTCAGACCCTTTCCTTTCTCCCCTCAGTCACTTAAGTGGGACCAGGCCTGGGTCAACTTGGGCCCTCCAGGTGTTTTGGACTTCAACTCCCAGTATTCCTAACAGCCTCAGGCCCTTCCCTCCCCCCCTCCCTCCCTTGTGACCATAATAAAATCACAGTGGAGGACCTTAGACCAGGCCTAGGACAACTTGGGCCTTCCAAGTGTTTTGGACTTCAACTCCTAGCATTCCTAACAGCCTCAGACCCTTTCCTCCCACCCCTCTCCTTTGTGACCATAATAAAATCACAGTGGAGGACCTTAGACCAGGCCTTGGCCAACTTGGGCCTTCCAAGTGTTTTGGACTTCAACTCCTAGCATTCCTAACAGCCTCAGACCCTTTCCTCCCACCCCTCTCCTTTGTGACCATAATAAAATCACAGTGGAGGACCTTAGACCAGGCCTTGGACAACTTGGACCTTCCAAGTGTTTTGGACTTCAACTCCCAGCATTCCTAACAGCCTCAGACCCCTCCCCCCCCTTGTGACCATAATAAAACCACAGTGGAGGACCTTAGACCAGGCTTGGGACAACTTGGGCCTTCCTAGTGTTTTGGACTTCAACTCCCAGCATTCCTAACAGTCTCAGGGCCTTTCCTTTTCCCCCCTCAGCCGCTTAAGCAGCTGACGGGGAAAAGGAAGGGGCCTGAGACTGTTAGGAATGCTGGGAGTTGAAGTCCAAAACACTTGGAAGGCCCAAGCTGGCCCAGGCTTGGTCCAAGGTCCTCCACTGTGAGGTCCTCCGAGTGAGGCCTGCCTTGCGGCCTACCTTTGAGGGAGGTCTCGACGAGGCGGAGGTAGAGGGCGCTCTGCTTGTTGCCGTGGCTCATGCGCTGCCCGAGCCCGTCCCGCTGGAGCACGCACTCCTCGAAGCGCACCACGTTGGGGTGCCTCCTCCGCAGGCTGGTCAGGGCCCAGAACTCGGCCAGGGCCAGCTCCACGTTCTCGGGCGCGTCGCAGCGGATGCGCTTGACGGCCAGGCGGGCGCCCGTGCGGCCGGAGAGCGCCTCGTAGACCACGCCGTAGGCCCCGCGGCCGATTTCCGCCACCAGGCGGTAGCGGGGCGGCGGGGGAAGCGGCGGGGAGGCGTCCTGGCTCGGGCCGCGGCCTACCTCCATGGCGTCGGCGTCTTTTCCCTTCGGAAGCCGCCTCAGGCGCCGCTCCGGGACCCTTTGTGCCCCTCGGCGGCCGCCGTCGTTCCTCGTCTCCATGGCAACGCCGCGGTGGGGCCTAGTCGCAAGGCGAGGCGCTGTTGGTAGTAGTCGTCGTTGTGGAAGCGCCGTTGTTGTCCGAACGGCCGGGGAGCGCCTTTCTTCATCCCGCCCGCCCCGTCAACTCGGGGCTGCCTTCTCTCCTTCTTTCTTCTTCTTCTCCTTCGAAAGAGAACCACATCCACACAACGAAGGGGCGTGAAGGCTCGGAAGAGGGGAAAAAAGCGCGCCTGCCCCTTTAAAAACGGCCCAGCCAATCAGAAGCGGAGGAGGGGAAGTTGGGATGTACCACTTCCCAGCTGGAACAGGGGTGCGCGTTATAAAACAGAAAGGCAATCCTTCGCTTTAAAACTCCCGATTGCAAACACACGATATTATTCCTCTGTTTTAAAACAAACCCGCAAGAAAAAACCCGACATCTTCACGACGTTGGCTCATTTTCTATACAAAGCGTCCCCTCCCTTGCTTAGAATGGTTCGTTCCTTTTCTTGGACTGTAAACATACATTCGTCTCTCCTGGACGGAAGAGTCCATTTTGCCGAGAGGGGGAGAAAAGGGGTGCGCATTATAAAGCAAGAAGACGATACTTCGCTTTAAAACTCCCCATTGCAAACACGCGATATTATTCCTCTTTTTAAAAAACAAATCCGTAAGAAAAAACTAGACAGATTGACGAGAAGGGCTCATTTTCTATACAAAGCGTCCCCTCCCTTGCTTAGAATGGTTCGTTCCCTTTCTTGGACTGTAAACATTCATTCATCGCTCCTGGATGGAAGAGTCCATTTTGCCCAGAGGGGGAGCCAAAGAGGGATAAAAAGGAAAACCAAGAGGATTGAGATTCCTTATCTTGTATTTCCTTCTCTATTAATTTTTTACTCTCATATTTTTTACCCATTGTATGCTTCAAGGGAAAATCCACCCGCTTTGGCTCTGAGGCGTTTCTCTTCTGAGTATGTCCCCCCCTATTTTTGAGATGCTGCGTCCCAACCCGGTGGAGAGATGCAGAAGTGCGAAGGGATGCACAGAGAGAGATTGCGAGCAAGGAGGAGGGGGTGTTACATAAGGTCCTTATGCAATCGCCGCCGGGAATGAGAGGCAGCCCGGGCCAGCAGCTGCCAAACTGCACGCCCGCAGACACGTGTCAGGGGTGTGTGTGTGAACCCAAGCAGGGGAAACCCGCCCCTATGGCATCTCTCCACCTCTGCTGGGGGGCAGGAATATTTGGAATTGCACAGTGGGCATGCATATACATACCTGTATAGAGAAGAATGGACACACACATAGAATCATAGAATCAAAGAGTTGGAAGAGACCTCATGGGCCATCCAGTCCAACCCCATTCTGCCAAGAAGCAGGAATATTGCATTCAAATCACCCCTGACAGATGGCCATCCAGCCAAACATATACAAACATATACACACCCATGCATATACACACAAGTAAGTAAATAAGTAAGTATACACACATGCATATAGAGGAATGGACACATACATCTTCTATCTATATAAATAAAAATGTAATGTTCGTTTGTGGGGATTAACATAACTCAAAAACCACTGGATGAATTGACACGAAATTTGGACACAACACACCTAACAGTCCAATGAGTGTCGATCATCCATAAACACACACACACACACAAAATCCCAGCGGAACAGACTTAAAAACCCAAAAAATACACACACACACACACATATATATATGCGCATATGTATATAAGTATACACTCATATACATATGCACATGCACACATTCATACACATACATATACACAAATACATACACATACATATATACATATACACATGCACACACATACATATCCACATACATATATACACACAAATATGCATATAGACAAACACACATATACACAATATGTATGTACACATATAAATACACATATACACGCACATATACACACACATATGCTAACACATATATACACAATATGCATGTACACATATAAACACACAAATACACAAATATATACACACATATATAAGTAAACACACATATATACACAAGCATATACACAATATGCATGTACACATAAAAACACAAATACACAAATATATACACACATATATACACACACATATATACACCCACCCACATATATATGCAAACACACATATATACACAGATATATATACACACATGCACACATATACACATACATAAAACACATATACACAGACGGCCACAGCAATGCATGGTAGGGGAAGGCTAGTCACACACACATATAAATACATGTATGTATACACACAAACACATATAGCCATAGATTGGCAAACCCACACCAAGTATATATATATATATATACCCTATAATAATAATAGTAATAATAACAGTATTCCAAGGGAAATAAGACAGTCCCCATCCCTCCCCTCTTTTTGTAAGAGTTTGAAGACTTGGTGGTTTCAACAGATCTTCGAGAGTGACCAGTGCTAGCTTGGCCCAGACACTGTCTGGACACGACCTACCCCCCTACATATTACTCTGGTCATTCTCCTAACAGGCCCCTGGAAATAGCCCGTTCCCACTTTTGTTGTTTACCTATTACAGTACTCTACCCAAATGCCAGTCCCATCTTATTTCAATTTGTATCAGTCTTGACCCAGCCTTTTTTAATTGTTCTGACCCATTCCTTTTCCATGCCCTAACAAACAGACATGAACAGCAGGCAGGATATTTTTCTTTTAATATTGATGTGTTGTTGGGTGATTCCATGCTTACGTTGCTGTTACTGTTATTTTTTGTTCATGTCCTCACAACCTCTGAGGATGCTTGCCACAGATGCAGGCAAAGCGTCAGGAGAGAATGCTTCTAGAACATGGCCATATAGCCCGAAAAACCTACAACAACCCAGTGATTCCAGCCATGAAAGCCTTCGACAATGCATTAATTCTACAGTGCAGATGCACCCACATTCAGGTCTGCGCCTCAGTATGTCTGCAAAGGAGAACAAAATTCATTAGGGGATGGACACACTATTTTTTAATGTAGGGATCACTAATGCTTAGCTTGTCTTTGATTTTTGGACTGTGACAAACATATTGCTATAGAAAGCAAGATTAGTAGCTCACAGAAGGCTTAAGTATTGAAGAAAAATACATTCATTTCCATGCAAATAAAATTATCATTGCAGTGTAGCAGATTTGTAAAACCAGTGAGTGTTGGTGGCTTTCCATGGGAAACAGCTCAAGAGTCCTTTTTAATTCCATTTGGATTATATTTAAAAAATGGTGATGGCTGCCCTTCCCTTTCAGTCCGATTTTATAAATCTTTTGCTGAGTGATATTGAAAACACAGTTGTCAGGCATCTTTGACCTTCAAGGCTTGTTGAACAATTATGACATAAAGAGGCTGATTCACCCAAACGAGAGTCATACGTGCTAGCCTTTCCATGTTGTTTCTCATAGAATCCTAGCATTAGAGGAGATCCCAAGGGCAATCCAGTCCAACCCTCTTCTGCTAGGCAGAAAACACAATCAAATACCAGGATCCTCTGTTCTGAACCTGACCCCAAATTTTCTGTTCAGTGAATCATGTTCAGGAATACACCTGTTTTGCTAACCAAAGTACAGCTACATTGATATGACCACGAATCTGGGTTAGCTTCTGAAAAGAAATCCTTGTGGATCTAGTTGGCTGCAGAGGTACCATCACACTCATAACACTATATAATGTTTCCCAGCCTGCTTGTGTTTCTTGGAAAGCTGTTAGGTTAGGAGATAGGAAGAAATCCCCACCCAGTTCTGTTCCAATTATAGTCCTCGCCTATTTGCTTCAGGGTCCAATTTAAGGGCCTTCGTCTTCCGTATAAAGCAATTAATTTTTGGGTCCCTGCCAGGGATGTTGAGATTGTTATTACATCATTACTGAAATGTTTACAGGTGCTGGGAAATCAGTTGGAAAGGTTCAAAGTGAACATACTTCTTTACCTGTAGTCAGTATGCGTGGTAGAGATATTTGGTAGGAAAACTATCAGAAGGACTATAAACCTGGGAATATCCCGCGGTGTGCCTCTTTTGCCCTCTCCCCAGAGATGGAAATATGTCTCAAGATGCTTGAAAGATAGTTGTTTTATTAGTAGAAAAACTTGATGCATTTTGGTCCAGATGGAATGTGCTGTCACGCCTGGGGTCTATTGTTCTTAGTGAAAGAAGTGTGGACGTGGCATCTCTCCCCAGGGGATTGCTTCTTGCCCTTCTTTAGAGAACTGGAACTTTCAAAGACCAAGACACTATAGATAACTCAAAATAGGTTTATTGTTCACAATGAGTTATCTTTCTTTAAGGCAATGAAATTGGTATTTAAAGGGGGTTACAGTATTTGGAGTCCTGGGTCCAAGGAGTTTTCGAGCTGAGAAGCTCCCAAGTTCTCTCTTTTCTCAATGGCTGTGAAAGTCGGAACTTACAAAACCCCAGCTCAATGGCCTATATTTGAAGGCACAATGTCTTCCTTTTGCTGCCAAAGGACTGGTTTGAAGGCACTTGAAACTCCTCAACATCGTCCAGGGCGAACTGAACATGAAGTGTGAGTCTCAAGGGTATAAACCTGAGAATTGGTGATGAGAGATAACTTAATCAAGGGCTTTAGAGCCAAGTCTTTCTCACATCCATCTATAGAGCTGTTAGATGGTGGAATGAAGAAGGAAACACTGATCTCCTCTCTACGAAGAGGTGGAGCCATACAATTGAGATGAGGGAGCAATTCAACTGGTGCAAACAACATTGATTGACGGCTATAAATAACCAATCAATCCCACTATACATTTACAGGGTAAAGAGGGAAGTTGGGGCATGTTACACAGTTCAAACCTTTGCAAATTAAAGTTTCCCATATAGGTGGCGCAACTCGCGCCGTCACATGGAATCTCTTTAGAATCAGACTTCGGAAATTTCAAGTCCTCCATGTAATTTGAATATGCCCTGGATCATCTTGGGCAAGTCACATCCTCTCAAGAAAACTATTTTATTTTATTTACTATATTTATATACCGTCCCTCAGCCCGCAGGCGACTCGGGGCGGTTTACAATTGGTGCCAAGACCATAAAATACAATTTCAATACAATCAAAACAATCAAATAATAAAACCATAACAAAATAAATCAACTTATCACTTAAGGGGCACTATATGTTGGAAATAACTGCAAATCCCAGGATTACATAGCATTGAGTCAAAGCAATTAAAGTAGGGTCTAACTGTATTAATTTTACACTCGAGATCAGGGGATCTCAAACTTTCAGCCATAGAGCCCTTTTTGAAGCACCAATTTCT